ATGTGATTTCAGTGACAGGGCACCTTTTAAACTATATATACAACACTGCTTAGTTCAACAGGTACAGAGGATACAAGTCTTTGCTATGGGACTCTGGCTACTCTCTAATGTTTAGAAAGAATTCAGTGTGGGGAGGAAAGGCATTTAAGGAGTTCACCAAGTCAGGGATAGGGAGTAGCCTTAAAATACAGAAAAACAAACATAATTTTGATGCTCTTCCCCATCCCATGCGTCTGCAAACACTGTCCTACACTCCTGCCACTGCCTCAAGGCCTCCCATCTCCACTCCTTACCACTGTGATGGAGCAAAGCTCTCAGCCTGAGACTTTCTCTCAGTTATGTACCACACATCTGGCACTGGCATGCCTTAGCAGATGGGAACCAGCACTCTGCCCACCTAAAGCAAATGAACATCTAACAGCGAGTCTGAAGGGCTCCAAGGAGTCAATACCTAAGCCACTGATCTGCATGCGCTTCCTCTTAAAAAGCAGTTTTAAGTCACCAAGGACACTGTCATTCTGAAAGGGAACACTGACACAGGCATTACGATGCACCACTTGTTAAAACCACTCATCTGAAAGGATGAAATGCAAAACAGCATCTTGTTAAAGCTCACTTGAATGAAATCTTGCCAATACACTCACCCCCACTAAGTAGACTTGCTGGTTTCTTCACTCAGTGAGCTAACCACACGTCTTATCCTAAAGCAAACACACTTACCTACAGCGATGCCAGGTGGACCTCCAACCAAACCCCCAACAAATGCAGTTGCACCTGCCAGGAGTGCTCCTCTACCAGAGTGCTTGACAGCCGCTGTCATTCCCTTCTCCTGAGCAACACGGCAAAGCAGTTGCATCATTTGATCCACACGGATGGGCATCTTAGGTGGTTAAGGTCCTGAAAAAGATGTTTAAGTTGACCACTGCAACAGCAATAAAACCCTGCTGTTTAGAGCTCTGGAGTCAGTGAGACTAAAATACACTGCCACAGTCCCTGTGGATAAACAAAAAATTACTTTCTCTTTCATTTCTGGGAAATCACGAGCTAACAGTTTCCCAGATTTTTTTTTGCTGGCAAAAGATGATGTTTATGGCAATTGTAAGTGAAGCCACAGAATAGAGCAGAGGACTCTGCAGTTTGGATGAACTCAGGAAAATGCACAAGGGTAAACCACAGCAATGAAAACTGTAAGAAAGTCTCCATCCAGTTCTACAGTATATCCCCTTTGACTTAAGAAATTGCTGGCCTTATTCAGCCTTGGGTATGGCTGCAGGACAGAGATCACACAGAACCTAATTCAGACATATCCATTGGGTTGTAGTTTACATACCTGCTATATATCTTCTCTATGTCCTACCTTCTGCCATAAACTAGGTACTTCTCACAACTTGTTTCTTTTCCACATCTTCTTCCATGCTTAAAACAGTTCATGCACTCTAAAGCCAAACACAGACCATTGTGATGCTTCTTAGGAATATTTTAATGAAAACAGAGGACCAGATGTTCAGAATTAGTTGAGAAACGAATGCTAAAATGATTATCCTAAACATATAAAAATGTCAGACTTGCCATTCTTCCTCACTCCCCTTTTTTAACCAGTCTCCTTGCCACACATTCCAGTTCTAGGATATCAGGAACTGCTAATTCCTTAGACTCTATTTTACCTGCTCTTCTAAGTTCCTCCAAACAGGTATTGGCTTCTCTTCTTACAGAAATGAATTCCCAAGAATTACAATAAAAATGTGACAAAAAATCAAGCAAGGCTTGAGGTTTGTGAGTTCACAGTAGAAATAATTTCTTGCAACTATCCCTTGTAATACTCAGATGCCAGGTAAAATTCTTCAAAGTGCCCTTGACACCTCAGCATTCATGCCATACACAGAAGAAGTTTAAAGCACTTCAACAAACAGGATTACATCTCCTAAATAAAATACAAGGACTTTGAAAATTTTACCCAGTGCTACATTATATGGCAAGAGAACCAGAATTCCCTTCAGTGATCTTGAATTCAATCCCACCACACAGTACTTCAAATAACACAGCAAGGCAGTGACAGGATAATACAATAAACCAGTAATAACTTCTGTTAAAAAAAAAAAAAAGAAAAAGAAAAGCAAGGTAATACTTAGATCTGCCTACATTTATAACTAGTAAAGCTAACTAACAATTGATACACTGAAGAATCACAACTGTCAGAGTAAAATTCACTACAATCTAAAAACACACTCTGGGAAGATTTATTCCCCATACTTTATCTCTGCACTTAGCTCTTTGGTGAGGTAATTTATCACCACTCCTGCCAACTGCTGCTGGAGATGGCCACTTCCCATGACAAGTGCAGTCAGCTGAGCGATATCAGTCCAGTCTAGGTTCCTGACTATTGCGATGGCTTCATCAAAGAGTTTCTGCTGCTCCGCAGGAGGCAACTCCATTAAAATCTGAGGGACTGGCTTGAAGTGTCCACTGGTCATCCAGGCACCAAGCAGTCCACCAAGAGCTCCTCCTAGAGAATGAGGAGAGATGTTACTCCCTATTGTTAGACCCAAAATTCTAGAGAGATGTTCATCAGTAGTGCCAACCTCCTCATTAGAAATCAGCACAGAGTTGAATGAACAAGGCAAATCCTCTTTCACTTGGGTGAATGACAATCAAGTACCAAGAGGAGTTTTTGCAGCTTTTTACATCAACAAAGGAACTCAACACAATGAAAGCTAACAGTTTCAAACTCGAAATCAGAAATCAAACAAGATTCCTTATGGCACTGGTCTCTTTAGGACAAGCTCTGCAGTTAATGAATTTTACCCTATGGAAAACACACTGTTAACTGCCTTGCCAGCGACCATTAACATAGAGTCTTTTACTCCAGATCCCCAGTATGACTCCAGCATACAGCTGCTGTAGAGATGCACGTTGCAGCTTCCTACACCTGTGAAGACCAAACTTCAGAAGGTATTCACAGAGACTAAGTTCATCAACTAGTTCAAGCTAGTTCAAAAGGCTCCGAAGAGTATATACCTAAGCCTCTAATTTGTGCATGGTTTTCTGTTCACAGAAAAAGGAGTTTTAAGTCACCGAGGTCACCATCATCCAAAAAGGGAACACCAACACAATAATTATCACAGAATCACAGAATTCTAGGGGCTCAAAGGGACCTCTAGAGATCATCAAGTCCAACCCCCCTGCCAAAGCAGGCTCCCTACAGCAGGTTGCACAGGCAGGTGTCCAGGCAGGTCTTGAATATCTCCAGAGAAGGTGACTTTACAGCCTCTCTGTGCAGCCTGTTCCCGTGCTCCGTCACCCTCATTGTAAAGAAGTTCTTACACATATTGGCATGCAACTTCCCATGCTCCAGTTTATAGGCATTTCCCCTTGTCTTGTCCCCACAGACTGCTGAAAAGAGGGTGGCCGTGTCTCTTTGACTCCCACACTTAAGATATTTATAAACATTAATCAGATCCCCCTCAGTCTTCTTAGAGCTGAACAGACCCAGGTTGCTCAGCCTTCAGTACTTGCTGAGGGTGGACACTATCCCCTCATCAAGGTCGTCGGTGAAGATATGAAACAAGACTGGACACACCACCAACTCCTGGAGAGCACCACTAGTCACAGGTCTCCAACTGGACTCTGAGCTGCTGATCATCACTCTCTGAACTCAGAGGGGTGAGAACATTACAATGCACCATTTCTTAAAAACACTCTTCTGAAAGAATGTAATGCAAAATGGCATGTTATTAAAGCTCACTTGAATGAAATCTTGCCAATACACTCACCCCCACTAAGCAGACCTCCTGCTTTCTTCACTCAGTGAGCTAACCACACGTCTTATCCTAAAGCAAACACGCTTACCTACAGCGATGCCAGGTGGACCTCCAACCAAACCCCCAACAAATGCAGTTGCACCTGCCAGGAGTGCTCCTCTACCAGAGTGCTTGACAGCCGCTGTCATTCCCTTCTCCTGAGAAACATGGCAAAGCAGTTGCATCATTTGATCCACACGGATGGGCATCTTGGCTGCTTAAGGACCTGAAAAAGATGTTTAAGTTGGGTTCTGCCACGGGGACAAAATCTTGTTGCTTATAGCTCTGGAGCTGGTTAGACAAACAAGACACAGGCACAGTAATAATGGAAAAACAAAAAATTAACTTCTAGTTTTTCTCTAGAAAACCAAAAAGTTTATGGTCAACAAATCTAAATGAAACCATAGAATAGAGCAGAGGACTCTGTTGTTTGGATGAACTCAGAAGAATGAGCAAGGGCAAATTACAGCAATGAAAAATGTAAGAAAGTTTCCATCCAGTTCTGGAGTACATTCCCTTTGCCTCAAGCAATTACTGGCCTTATCCTGCCTTGGTTGTGGCTCCAGGACAAAGATCAAGCAGAACTTCATCCAAACATAACCTGTAGAGTGTAGTTTGCATATCTGCTATATATCTTCTCTTTGTCCTAGTTTTTGCAGTAAATTAGTTACTTCTTGTTACATTCACTTCTTTTCCTAATTTTCTTCCATGTTAAAAAACTTTGACGCCAACTGCAGATGGTGAAGACTGGGGTGCTTAAAGCAAAGGTTGTCCACAGTGAGCAGTGAGAGCCAGTGAGCAGGAAGAGCCAGGAGGAAGGAAACAGACTTCAAAAAAGCTTGGAGGTGGCAGCTGAGATTGGGAACCTATGGGAGGCTCTAGAGATATGGAATCAGAAACACAGGGCTCCTGTGAATGGCAGGACGGGACTTCAACCAGACAAGAAACACAACTCTCATTTGTAGAAGGAGGCAGAGGTGGGAAAGGAACAGTAGGAAAGAACAGACAGGGCAGGAGGATTGCTTCCTTGGAAAATCTCATCCAGCAGGGCATGAGCTGACAACTTTACAGGGCATTTTCTTTTCCCAGCTGAAATAACTGCACACTAAATATTAAAGAATATACTTGTCTCTGTACAGTTGGTGACAGCAAGTGCAGCGAGCGAGGCAAGAGGCTACAGGAAATGGCAGAATAGCTTTGAGTATCAAAAAAATCCCCAAAAAACAAAAGCGAATTACTGAAGGCTGCCCTGAAAAAGATCGTATCCCTATTTTTGCACCCAATGGATGCATACTATTGAGCCAGGAACAAAAAGCACACCTTTTGGTAACTACTTCAACTTTTTCAGACAACCATATATTGCCATCTAGGAGAGGTTATTTGTTGACAATAATGACTAAATTCAAATGCAGCTCTGATTAAACACAGCGTTTCACATTACCAGGCAATGAAAAATGCAGCTTTGGCTTTGAGTGCACAACAGCCAAAGGATACTTTGCACTTTAGCAACTATTCTAAATGGCAGGAACACAGAGATTACAAAAATAATACCCTCCCCTCACATTGCAAAAGTCATCCCAATACCAACGAAACACTGATTTGGAGCACTGAGATCAGAGCAACTGCCATGAACAGAAATTAAGACTTTCAGCCCAAACAGCAGAGCTCATGAAGCGTTCAGTGTGAGAGGTGAAAGGACTCAGCGCAGAACAAGAGCACGCTTGTTTGTGACACAAATACCTTCAATGCCTTTCATTCTGCACAACAAACAAGGAAAGGTGTTGCTGGAAAAAATAAAACAATGCACACAACATGACTAAAAATATACTCACAAATACACAGGAGGCACAGAGTTATCGTTGTACTTGTTAACTTTGATACTATCCAGTAGCTGAGTGTCTGATTTTTCAGTCTCAGAACAGCACAGCACGTCATACCTTCACAGCTCAAACCAAGGCATTTTCAAGCCTTCCTACAATGCATCTCCTCTCTGCAAAGTTAAAATGAAGCAACAGCAAAACAACTTTCAAGTTAAAAATATCTACTGTGAAAATGGAAGGTTACTTCTGCACTAAAGAAGTGCCAGCCCAAAGCAAACACTGCAGTTCTTCACTGTACCACAGGTGCTTGGGTTGCTGTCAGGCTTTGGACACAGCAGTGCATGATAGTAACAGTGCGTGCTGGTTGGTGACACATTGCATCCGTTGCCTCATTCAGTGAAGTTCAAGCTCAAAGCACTAAAAAACAGCTGCTCTGTTCTTCCTTGAGCACTAAGAAAATAAATAGTAGGAGTCAAAAACTGTTATCACCTTGACACTGTAGCACAGGACTGTAGTCAGAGGCAAAAGACAATGACCATTTTTTTGCAGCATTCCACAGAATGAGCTGCCATATATCATTAACATACAGACAGCCAATACCATGGCGTCCCATGCTAATTCCCCTACAGTAGACAGCTACCAGAGCCTTCTTAATGTCAAGTGGTTGCTTCCTCCCTCTTGTATGCCCAAACTCACTTGAAATTAATAGCCAACTTAGTTTCTGTTCTTCTGTCACTGGCAGTGATAGATTGTGTTTTAGACCAAACTGCAAACCTTGCAGCAAACTTATTGCTACTACTCTGAAGATAGGCACTTCTTACCATTTGAGAAGTTCCACATATGTCATACTTTACAAACAGTGGTACAAACAACCCATTTCTTTCTGGTTCTACACCAGCTATCTGAAAACGTGGGTACATTAAATTATATTGGCTAATTGCATGCTACTGTGCAACACAGAGTATAAAGCTTCTCATGAGCTCAGTGGCAGTGTTTAACATAAGCTAGATGGGCCCACACAGCCCTCTGAACCACTCTGACCAGTCTCCCCCTGGCACACATGTATCTCCTACTCCTATATACTGCAGCAAATGCCAAAAGGTTGCCATTAAAAGTAGTTTCTCTTTTCCAAGTACATAATGAAAAGTATTTGAAAGAATAAGAAACAGTAACATACGACAGCACAGGACTGACACTGTCATTAATTAAGCTCAATTGATGGCTGTGACACTGGCATAAGCACCATAAATTAATTCAGTATCTACCTTTGGTCCTCAATTTGTGAATGTGTAACACGGGAGTCACAATCCTGATACCCGCAACTACCCTAAAATCTGCTAGCAATCAGTTTAAATAACGACTGCTATTATAAGTTAACTGACACCAGAACCTTTCCTGTGACCTACTTCACAACCACATGCTAAGTTTTTTCAAGTCCATCTTTGAATGGCTGATTCCAAGGGGGACAGTCTCTCTCCTCCTGTTTCACTCAAATATCTGCTGCTAGTAGCAGCATCCTCTTCCAGAAGAGTCCATTTGGTTTGTGAAATAATCATAAAATGAGTATGAGTTAAAAAAAATTAATACTTTAAAACACCTATAGAGTATATATGGACTTAAAAGAGAATTGTACTGTGTGTAATCTGTCAAACTGAAAAAAACACTGATTTCAGGTATGTAATATGAAACTACAGAAAAATCAGAAGTGCGCACTGCCATTTGCTGCTGGCTTTCATTTCACTGAAAAAAACTAACTTTCAAACAACAGTCATTGCCCTGCACTCCAGGAAGAAAAGTAAACTGTATGTATTAACAACAAAGTATTCCTGCAGAACTGAATTAGTCAAATCTAAACAACAGCAAATCTTGAGTTGAAACTTCCGCATTCAAAACTCAACTATGAGAAATGTCACCGCCCAAACATGGAGAGATCTTTATTACACGACTAAAATTACAGAGATACAGAGCAGTATCACTTGTTCCTAAATATTAAAAAAAAAAACAAAAAAACACATCTACTCATTCTTCCATTTTTAACCTTGTTTCCTGTGTGCACTGCAATAAATGCTGAACAACTGGTTGGAAAATTAAGTGCCCAGTTCTTAAAGCAGCTCATCTACTGTAAAACAAAACAGAGACCACTGTGATGCTTCTAAGGAATATTTTAATGAAGACAGAGGATATTCAGAATCAGTTGAGAAACAAAAGCTACAATGACAATACTAATGCTAATAATTAACACACTGAAGAATCACAATTGCCAGAATAAAATTCATTGCAACCTATAAATCTGCACTGAAAAGCTTTATGCTCCACACTTTATCACTGCACTTAGCTCTCTGGTGAAGTAATTTTCCAGTAGTTTAGCCAACTGCAGCTGCAGAAGATGACTATTCATTACAACAGCAGTTAGTCGAGCAAAATCAGACCAGTCTAAGCTCTTGAGTACCACAATGGCTTCAATGTAGAGTTTCTGCTGCTCGGCAGGAGGCAATTGCATTAAAATCTGAGGGACTGGCTTGAATTTTGCTCTGTTCATCCAGGCACCAAGCAGTCCACCAAGCGCTCCTCCTAGAAAATGAAAAGAGATGTTATTCCCCATTGTAAGACCTGAAATTCCAAAGAGATGCTTCTTCAATGCTGTTCACCTCCTCAAATGATGATCAGAGAACCAAGGACTGTTACAGCTTTCTACATCAACAGAGGAACTCCACACAATCAAAGATAACAGTTTCAAACTCAGAATCAGAAATCAAACAGCATTCCTTATGGTACTGGTCTCTGTAAGGCAAGCTCTGCTATTACATGAATCCCATCCCATGGAAAACATAGTTAACAACTGCCTTACCATTAATACAGAATCTTTTATTTCAGATCCCTGGTATGATCCAAGCTTCCTGCTTCAGCAAAGATGCAGGATGCACCTGCCTACACCCATGATGTCCACACTTCAGAAGATGCTCATAGAGGCCAAGATCATCAACTGTCTTGGATTAGTCAGCCACATTCAACCTTTCTCCTATGAAATTAATACCCCACCAGACTTGGAGAAGAATCTCTCTGCCAGGCAGTATGGTTCCAGGCCATCAAGTGCAGAGCAGAGGGATCACATATAGATTATGTGGGTAGGACTGCTACAGCCAAGAAATTAGGATCACGGCCCTACACTGATGTGTGATATCTAATGGCTACCAGCCATACAGAACAGTGCTTTTCAGTGATTTACAATGCTGCAAAGAAATTGCAATTTACTCCAGTACCAGTAAGCCCTTCAGATTTATGGAACTGCTCCTAAGAGTAATGTGCACTCAAGGACTGATGCTACATGTGATTTCAGTGACAGGGCACCTTTTAAACTATATATACAACACT